AATCCCGCACCTGGGCTTTTCACTTTAAGAAATTCGGAAAGTAGCTGTTTGGCGTTTACGACCTTTTGCTTTTAGACACGCGATATCTTCTTTCCTGATTCTTCTTTTCTTAGTGTAATCACTTAGTCCATACGCCATACCCCTTTCCCGTGTGCGCTCAAAGGGCGGAAGAATATCATCGTTTTTTCTTATGTTGTTTGGCTTGAACAAACCGAATCTGTTGATGTTTTTTCTCTCCGACCGTGTATCTGAAAGTTATTAACAATCCAATTGTTTGAACCGAGTTCGCGGGACAACGATGAGAGATGAAAAATACTTCGAATAAAAGATCTTGCTTTCGTTGAGTTAAACATATTTCATCCAATGGATTTTTTTCTTATTCAAATTATTCAGCGAAATATTGAGGATCAAACGAAAATAATTCAGTTTGGTGACGCGGGGCAGGGTGGGACGTCGTGGGGTACTGTGCCCCATGCATTTCCGCAGGGAATTTGAATCCCGGATATCTTGCAAAATAATCGAGATGCGGGAGAAATCGATAAAAGCAAATATGTTCAGTTTTACAAAAGGAACATCTTTTGTTTGAACTATTTTCCTGTATCTCTAATAGGTTTCAAGCAACCTCGGTTTAAACAATGGAATTGTCAATAACTTTTGGATGCACAGTCTCAGCTAAAAAACACTGACAAATTTGGTTTCTTCAAGCCAAACAACATGAGAAAACAGTGATCTTCTTCTGCCCTTTTAGTGCACACGGGAAGGGGGTATTGCGTATGGACTATCTAGCTTTTGCAAAAATTGAGATATCAACTTGAAATTTGGATAGAATCTTCCTCTCATGATAACAATCCTTTCGATTGAAAATAAGCTCAATCGCATGGGTAATTTCTGAGCTATTCGACTTTCTCTGAAAACCTTTTATGTGCAATAGCATAAAAACTACGCAACCGATTTGAATTTTTTTTTCAAAATATTTACTTCGATGCCTTCTATCCGAATCAATCAGAACATATATACCCGTTCATACAAAGTTTTCGAGATATTTCCGTTCTCCTGTTTTTTCATAAAAATCCTTGTAATCACTCTAGCTTGTGCAAAAATATCAACTTGAGATATCAACTTGAAGTTTGTGCAGAATCTTCCTTTCATGATAACAATACGTCCTATTGAAAATGAGCTCAATCGCATAGGTAGTTTCTGAGATATTCGACTTTCTCTGAAAACCTTTTATGTGCAATAGTTTAAAAACTACGCAACCGATTTCAATTTTTTTTTTCAAAATATTTGTTTCGATGCCTTCTATCCAAATGCCTTCTATCCCATTCGGAAGCTTACTACCAATGGAATTGGCAGAACTGAAAGAAAGAAAGAGTTATAACACATAAAGTAATGGTCAGATGGTTTCGGCCAAAAAGGCACGAACCCCTGCTTGTTTCAATATCCGTAGTGGAGATAAGTGGATTCAACGAAATTTTGAAAAAAATAGATATGGGGAAGTTGACCTCAGAGAAATAAAAAATTTTGAGACAAAAAATTAGGTTTTTAGTAATAAACTGAAGACGAAGGCGAGTGCTACCCTCTCAAGGGACAATAAAAGAACACTTTTCCCACGAGTGTTGAAACCTATTTTTCATCACAATGTCTGCAAAGTGTGCGGAGTGTATGTAAAATTTCACCTTACACACAAGTCATGAAGTAGTATATTGTGTTCTTAGTGCGTAAAGATTTACTTTTTCGCACGTACGTGTAACACATCCTATTTTTTGTAATGCCCGCCTCAAAAGTTCACTTTTCGAAACCGTTTAGTGTGTGTAAAGTGGTTGTTTTACCCACAATGGGCGTAAAGTTCAAAGGTCGTGCGTAAAGTGAATTCTTGTGCTTAAAGCTTCGCTTTACGCACTCGAAATTCACTTTACGCACGACCTTTACGCACACCGTAGTAGCTTTACGCACGAAAGCTCACTTTACGCATGTTCGTGAACTTTACGCATGCCGTACGGAAACAACAACTTTACGCACACTAAACCATTTCGAAAAGTGCACTTTTCAGACAGGTATCACAAAATAGGATATTTCGATACGAGTGCGGAAAAGTGTTTTTTGGCTCATGGAATTATATCACTCGCCTTCGGCTCGTCCTATAAATCTCCCACAAGCCACAAAACACTTTTCCCATGAGTATCGAACGATATTTTTCACCATAATGTGTGGAAAAGGGACGTTTTAAAAAGTTACTTTTTCGCACAGAGTGATGAAACAGTACGTTATGTTACTAGGGCGTAAAGTTCCACTTTTTCACACGCACGAGTAACATCCTATTTTTTGTGGTACCTGCCGAGTTCAGTGTTCGGAACGGTAGTGGGGTTAATGTGGTTGTTTTTCTGCACGAGTGCGTAAATCGATGCTTTACGCACGAGAATCTACTTTACGCACGCTCGTGAACTTTACGCACGCCGTGCGGAAAACAACCGCTTTACGCACACTAAACCGTTTCAAAAAGCGCACTTTCAAGGCAGGTATCACAAAAAAAAATTATAGATTCCTCTAGATACTAAATGTTGACGACAATTACGTCCTATGAGAGTAATATTGTGTATTACTAGAGCGAAAAGCCAGCAGCCTATTGAAAAAAAATTAAACAGACCACAACGCAATTACAGAGACTTGAAAAATATGAATAGTCTTCCAAACGTAAAAACAAATTCCCCCAAATAATATCAATCGATTTCTACATGCGAAATTTTAATAAATATTCGTGATTCTTTTCAAAATTTGATACAAAGTACCTAGCAATCTTGGAATGCTATTTCAAGATTGAAAAAAGAATCTCATTTAAAAAACAACGACAAATTCAATAATGAAAACTACAATACTCCAAAGATAAAACTAACTGGAATTCTTGTTTTTTAACGGGTTTCGAGTCACACCAGCTAATCACCAATCAGTGATAGTGTGCTACAAGAGGATGACATGTATAAAATACGTAACTGCGTGTTATGTTCACGTCCCAAGCGGGTGATCTAGTCATACGGTCATGCATTTGCAACGGTGCCGTCGAAAAATTTAAAGTCCGACGTTTGTCGATAAAACAATAGTTACAAAGCTATTGCAAGTATTTAAAGCGCAATTAAGATTCTTAGTATAATCTCTCAAGTGCATTGACCAATCAAATACTACAATAAATCTGGAAAGTCTTCAGATAACTCCCTCGAGTCATTCATTATTTTCCACTCCGAATATTTATAGATCTCTCATGTTTCGAAAATAGAAATAACAACCTGAGTGAATTGGCTGAGAGGGGGACAAATGGAGAAATGAAACCGGTATCAATGAGGCTCTTGCGTACTTGTATCATCGACACGTGTCGTAACAATCGGGCGAGGACACAAATAAAATGGGTGAACCTTTTTAGATTTATGTAAATAAATTAGCAATATGCTTCCGAATGGTTATTTTGCACACCATTTCCTTCTATCATATAATTCATTGTTTATTTCATTTTATTAAATTGAATCCGATTTCGTTTTACCTAATTTTGTCAAATTTTCAACTTCGTTGAATCTTATCAGCATCATTTTTCTTATTATACCTTTTCTTCTATACAACCGATTGTCTTTTTTACAGATATATCTCTCCTCTCAGCCTTTCGATGAAATGTTGATAGAAAAATTTTATTTACACATACTTGAATGAATTTGAAACATCACATTCGAAGAAACCATCAGAAAGCTCATTCTCAGGGAAATTCGTGAAAAATTCAAAATTTTCAACAATCATCATAAAATTCAAATCAACCAATATAGCTATCGTAATCATCTTTTAACTTCGACTTAATGGCAGTAAAACCAACATTTTAACCTATGAATGAATTCATTTGAAGCATGATATTTAAAGATATCTCCGGAATTCTGATTTTCAAACAATACAAAATTTTCGAATAAATGAAAATAGCGATTATTGCTATCGCTTCCATCTTCGAACTCAGTGAAAGGGACATCCAAACAAATTTGTTAAGCCAACATTCTATCAATTCAGTACATTTTTCTTTAGTTATCGTGGGACAACAGATTTTCGAAAAAATTGAAAAAATTAATCGATGAATTAAATTTCAATTCATGGCGATCGATAGGGCTCGACAATTCCTACATTTGAAAAAAAGATTCAATTCCATCTATTCATTAGCGAACAATTTAGTAGCGAGGTGTTAAAACGGTTCAAGTCGACTCTTCTCTCAACTGAGTTTTTGAGGAATATTTCTGAATCCAAGGGAGATAGCGAAATTTCCGTAATTACCTTTGTTGTAGCTCCCAATTGGCTCAACAAAAAATGTTGTAACAAAAATTTTGCTATCTCCCTCAGAATCCAAGATATTCATTGAAAACTGGTCAATAGTCAAAATTGACTTGTACCGTTTTATCACTTCGCTACTGAATTGAAGAAAAACTTTTACACACGCATACACATACGTACGGACACGATCTAAAAATTGCATTTTCGGATCATAATGGGTGGACATAACGTAAAAAATTCAAAACTTAAATTTGAACGACTACAAAGCTTCCGTTCGGAACCAAAACGGAATGAATGTTCTACGAACCACCTTGGCACATTTCGAAAACGAATCATGTGTATTGCAGATCCATCAGTTGCGAACTAACCAACTCATAGCAATATTTTTCACGACTACCTATTTATTATTAAATTTGGAAAACAATAAAAAACTATAATTGAAGAAACCAACTTCTCGCTATGAAAAATCGTAAAACAGAATGGAGCAGTGTTGCAGGTGCATAATCTCCGATTGAACGGCGTAAATAGAGCTGCGTTAATAATACAAACAAACGTTGCATTTGAAACAGACCATGCAATGCCGAAAAAATGTGTCGCCTTAGGATGTTACGAATACGCGACCTCATGTCTGAGTTTCTCTCTCGTAAAACGCTCTGTCCGGCGAACATTTGATATATTCTCAATGAAAATAGAATGTTCAAAGCCGTGCCTTATTTCCCACACTAGATAGCGATGAAAAACGTGGAATCAACTGAGCTCATCACATGCTGCAATAAAAATGCAACACTAACGATACTCCTACAGTATCGTATTTTCTTCATGTCACTGGTTTAAACACCCACAAAAAAGGGGCGTAAGAGAGGGAAAGGAGCAGTGCAGGTTGCATGACGCTTGGGGCGCGCCGTGCCACGATGACGCCATGAAGTATCGAGCGGGGTTTACCACGCAGACTGACGTCACGATCACGACCTCAGTCAGACTGTGAGCACGTGAACAGCACGCTGGCGATCACGCGACAGCCAAATGATGGATCGGCTCCCATTGGTCGACAGGAGCGAGCCCCTTTACTCCATTGGAGAGGCGAATGCACACCGCATGATCACCAACACAATCGGACAATAACACATCGTGCCGTACGACCAAGGTACGATCTAGGCTTCATTACTCGACACGACGCCCAGCGAGTACCTTCATTGCTCTGCATTTTGTTTGTTAATTCTTTAATTATATGATGTAAAGATTTTTTTTATTTCTTCATTGATGAACTTTCCATTTATTTTTTTTACCGTTGAGTGATTGTTCGTTGTATTTCGGTCAGTGTCTCGATTGCAATTATTTGTTTAAACAATGGATCTAACTGAAGTGCCACTTTCACCACCCGCATCCCCTCAGTTGAAACAAGTTCATGTGAGTATTGTATAGTTGACTGACTTGATAGCTAGAGAGAGTTCAATAATTAAATGAGTGTTTTGAAAATTACGGAGTTACGCTGCGATGATTTGAATTGAGGCCGCGCTTTTGAGTGCGCAGGGGCCGATGCCCGCGAAAATTTCGAAGACTTTTGATAATTGAATTTTTTATTTACTATTGAGGGGTAACAGAATGCCGCTAATTTTCCATATTTTTTAACAAATTTCTGGCTGAAAGTTATCGATATTTTTGCAAATCAAAGCCCATTAATCTTCAGGCAGCAATGATGAAGATCAATGTGCTTTGGGTTAAAAAAATATTAATAACTTTGAGCAGGAAATTTGTTGGAAAATTTCGAGGAAACGGTGGCCTTCTGTTACCCCTGAACGGGAGGAATGAAAGACAAAAATGATAATTTTGGTTTTTATGAATTAAGGTCGAACCCCTGCAGTTGTCGTTTAGTGTTGAGGCTCTGTTGCGAAAGGAGTCTGTGCATGTCCGGCCGGATTTGCCACCCACACCCCAATCGTCCGACACCGAGGAGGATGAGCAGCCGGCGCGTAAACGCCGCTGTATAGAGCAGCAATGCGAATTGACCAAGGTAATTTAATGTGCTTACAGTCAGAATTATTCAGCCGTATGTTAACCAGAAGTGAGAAACTTTCACTTGTCTTCAAGTTACTACGGGAAGGAAAAAGGTGGAGAAAAATTACCAAACAAATCGAGTAATCCTGGAGCGAAATCCATTTCTAGGTTTTTTCATTCTAGGGGAGGGTGGGGTAAATGGACACTTTAGACTTTTTTAAAATTATTCATAACTGAAAAACAAGTTTATCAATTGGGCTCAGTTTAGGCTCGTCACAAAGGGGAAGATTTGTTCTTTATATTGAAAAAAAAATTATTGAATTACATCAACATTTCAACCCCTCGTTGATATTTAAAAAAAAATCAAAAGTGTCCGTTTTACCCGAATCTCCCCTATATCGAGACAAAAAGTGCGAAACGAATGGTGAATTTTTCACTACTGATCCCGGAAATTTTTATCATGTTTAATTATCACTGAAATTTCGGGAAATCTTGTCACTGAAAAATCCAATATTCCATTGATTTTCTGTTCGAATGATCTAAAAATCAATGAAGTATATTTTCCATGAAATTTCGACAAATTTCTAACAGTGTAATTTCGATACGAGTGAGACAGCTACGCCTCGGGCCGCCACCCCGAGAATTTCTATTATTTATTATTTTTTCTATTATATTGAAAAATATATAAGAAATATATATAATATAGGCTAATTTAATATACTCTTCGAATATATATAAGATTTATATAAAATATATATAAAGCACATGTATATAAAATTATATTTTATATAACCTTGATACATAAATCAAACCAATTCCATATATAAAATATATAATTTTAAGAGTATCTATTTTTCCGTATGCGCCACTTCACACTTGTGAAAATTTCTGTCTCACCTCGTGCCAAAAAGTACTTTTTCGTTTATTCGTAAACGAAAAGGCACCTTTCGGCATGAGGAGAACCTAGCAGTAGTGTCAAAAAGTATTTTTTTATTGAATGACAATTTCTCTCCACGATTACCTTTTCTACACTAAAACTTGCCACGACTTTCTAGACAATTTTTATTCAACTTTTCTCTTCGTGCAGACGAATGATTATCAATATGAAACATTTCTGTTCTAGATGTTGCTAGACGGCACACCACCACCCAGTCCAGAGCCAGCTCGCGTCTCAGTGATAATGCATGCAAATCGCGACGGCACCTGTCGCCCAGCAACCCTTCCAATTTCCGTAATGAAAGCACCAATTAGTCACCAAAAAGAAACTCCCTCATCGAACAGAGAAGTGGATATGTCCAGCCACCAAAAATGGCCGGAGCCTGAAAACATTCTGAGGAACTTCCAATTAAAAATGAGCCTGTGTAAAGAAGAAATCATCGCCAACAGCAAGAACACAGATCGTGAGGTGACGAGAATGGAGAAAATTGAAGGACAAAGATTACAACCATTAGCACCAAAACCAGCGCCCATGGGACAGATAACAATGGTACCAGTAACGGGTATCTTTGGAACGCCCATGGTACTTCCCCGCACTCCTCTTCTTCTCGTTACAACACCATCGACAGTTACTACAAATACAAAAACAACCTCGACTGATGCTGGGGCTCGAAGACGGGTTTACGAGTGCGAGCATCCAGGCTGCGGCAAAAATTATTTCAAATCATCGCATTTAAAAGCCCACACCCGGACACATACGGGAGAAAGGCCATTCCCCTGTCCTTACGACGACTGTGGCAGGAGATTTTCCAGGAGTGACGAGCTCTCACGTCACAAGAGAACACACACTGGGGAAAAGAAATTCGTTTGTTCGGTTTGTCAAAGACGATTTATGCGGAGTGATCACTTAGCAAAACATGTGAAGAGACACGTCAGAGACAAAAATTCGACTGATACGTTCAACCCTAACTCATCATCAACTCCTCAAAGAACGACAAGTTCATCTCAATTGCAAATGGGACAGAGACCAGTGACGGTCAATTTACTTCCAGTGCTTGCGTCTAGACTGACACACCTACCAAACTTAATACCTCCCCAACTTGCCGCATAAATTATTGACTATTACTTCTCTAGTCGTTTTGGTTCAACAATCATGTTCAAACTTCATATGAGAACTCTCAAACAAAAGAAAAATCGTACTATGTATTATACTCTGTCATGAGAAGCATCATGATTTCTACTTATCGAACAAAATGAGTAATTATTAATAATGTAAGTGTGTCTGTGATCTCTGATGTGTCTAAAGAAGAAACAGCTCATGGTCGATGAATTGAAAAACATCGACATGAGAAATCGTAAGGACGAAACCGACATTGAAATATTGTATATATAGTTCATGTTCAAATGCTAAGACTTCTCCCTAGGATTACTTTGCTTGTAATATAATTGTATATAAAAGATCAATATAGAGTTATGTACTTTCTTAAAACGTTGAGTTTTTTTCTTGATAGCATCGACCATCCACATCCACTCAACACCCAATTTTCCCAAATTTTTTACGTATGTATTTTATGGAATCTTGTTGGGAATTTGTAGACCTTCAGAGCAGGCTCAAGTTCAAATATAGCAGAGTAGAATTTCACAAATTTTCTGTTGTTTTTTTGTGATTTTTGGCTTATATAACTCATTTCTGATGAACCACGCCCAAGAAAGGGTAGTTATATGGGTCAATCTGTGACATGTGCTCAAATTTCTTAAGCAATATCTACGCCCTACTTAGCGTTAGAGCTTTCGGAATTTCATTAATGGAGTGTGGTGTGTATTATCAATACATGGATAAATCTACATTTATGGGAACAAGTGGGAAATTGCTCTTGTATTGCATATCGTATAGTTGTTTTTGCTAGTAAATTAGTGCAATATGCTTCCGAATGGTTATTTTGCACATAATTTCCTTCCATCATGTATAATTCACGGCTTATTTCATTTTATTAAATTGAATAAGATTTCTTTTTAACTAATTTTGTCGGATTGTTAACTTAGTTGAATGTTATCAGCATTATTATTCTTATTATCCCTTTCTTCTATACAATCGATTGTCTTCTTTACGGTTCTATCTCCCCCCTCAGTCCTTCAATAGAATGTTGATAGAAAAATTTTATTTTTACATACTTGAATGAATTTGAAACATCACATTTGAAGAAACCAAATTAAATTTACCAAACCATTAAATCAACTAATATAGCTATCGTAATCATCTTTTAACTTCGACTTAATGACATCAAAACAAACATTTTAAGCTATGATTGAATTTGTTCGAAGCATGATATCCAAAGATATCTCGGGAATACTGATTTAAAAAAAAAATCCTGAATTTTTGCAAATTTTCTAATAAATCAAAATAACGATCATAGCTATTGCCTTCATCTTCGAACTCGGTCAAAGGAACATCCAAACAAATTTGTTAAGCCATCATTCAATCAATTCAGAAAAATTTTTTTAGCTATTGTGAAAAAACCATTTTTGAAACAAATTTTAAAAAATTAATAAATGAATTAAATTTTAATTAATGAAGACTGATAGGGCTGAACAGTACCTACATTTGAGGGAAAAAAGATTCAATTCCATCGACTCATTAGCGAGCAATCAAAGAAAATTTTGTTTATACGCATACGCACATACATACGTACGGACACGGTCTAAAAATTGCATTTTTGACACTGCTGCTAAGTTCTCCTCGTGCCGAAATAGTATTTTTCCGGCCTGTTGCGATGGGGTTTTTTACTCGTGCGGCGTTGGCCTCCGAGCCGCAGGCGAGGACTGGCCAACCACACGAGTAAAAAAACCCCATCGCAACAGCCCAGGAACAATATTTTTCTGTAGTGATTTTCAAGTTTTCGAGTTTGGGAAGTATGTAATACCAATTTCCAGACGAGAAATCGTGAGAAGCAGTATAGAAAAGTGACTTTTCGTTTATTTGTAAACGAAGGAGGCACAGTTCGGCCACTCGCTGAACGGTAACATCACTGTCAAAATAGTATATTTTGATTCGCCTGCGACTCGTGCTATAAACCTCCCACGAGCCAAAAAACACTTTTCCCATGAGTATCGAACGCTATTTTTCATTACAATGCGTGGAAAAGGGACTTTTTACCTAAACAGTTACTTTTTCGCACACGATGATGAAATAGTATATTTCGTTACGAGTGCGGAAAAGAGTTTTTTGGCTCGTAGGAGGTTTACAGCACGACCCGAAGGCGAGTGATATAATCTCACGAGCCAAAAAACACTTTTCCCACGAGTATCGAACGCTATTTTTCATCACAATATGTGGAAAAGGGACTTTTTAAGTACGCGAGGTGTGCCTAAAATAGTCTATTTCGATACAAGTGCGACGGGGGGTGGCAACGAGTGTGAAGTTGACGGCCCCAGGCGAAGCCGAGGGCTGCCAATCATACGAGTTAAAACACCCCGTCGCACGTGTATCCGAACTATATTTTTTGTTAGTGATGTTACGTTCAGCGAGTGCCGAACTGTGCCATTTTTCATTTACTAGTAAACGAAAAGTCTTTTCGTTTACACGTTTCGACTTTTCGTTTACTAGTAAACGAAAAGGCACTTTTCGACACGGGCTGAACGTAGCAGCAGTGACAAAATTTGTATATTTCGTAACGAGTGCAAAAAAGTGTTTTTTGGCGAGTGGGAGGTTTATATCACGAGCCAAAGGCGAGTGATATGATCCCACGAGCTAAAAAACATTTTTTCACGAGTTACGAACAATATTTTTCATCACAATGTGGCGGAAATTGGACTTTTAGGCACGCGGAGCGTGCCGAAAAGTTCACTTTTCGTCACAGCGTGATGAAAAATTACTTTTTTGCACAGCGTGATGAAAAATTCCGTCTCCCTCATATGGAAATGTACTATATCGAACGTTTTGGATCATAATGAGTCGATATAACACGAAAAATCCAAAACTTGAATTTGAACGATTACAAAAAGAAGATAATTATAGAATCAATGCTGCCCGCCACAACAGAGTTTCTGATACCATAACTTTCAAGGATGTTGTTTACCAACAAAAAAGTTATCTCAGTTCTTTAACAATAAGTGTCTGAATTGCATAATCTGACATCAACATGGACCCAGTTTAGAAATCAATTATCACCAGCAAAGTTAATTATATGCTATAAACAACGTCAATGGCAACGAGAAAAATTAAACCATTCAAGATTCATCAACATGGAACATTAGAACATTTCTCAATTACTACAGAAATTCGTTGAGCAATGAAACAACATTCGTCGAGGTGAGAAACAGAAAGAACGTTCTAATAAATTATCGAGACAACAGATTCATACGGAAGGGCTACATTTTTCAATTGTTTTGTCGGCCTTATAAAAGTTTCCTCTGAGATATTCCAAATGGATCTGCGATACAGTCTATACGCTACGGGTCAGAAGGTAAACACTTCAAGGTTTCCTGGGTGGACTTCGACTTGTTTTCGTTTTCTGATTCATCAGTCTCAAATTTGTTGGTCTGCCCGCAAGTGTTCGGCACTTGGTATCATAAACAATTCATCTGTTCAAATCCTTCCCACTCTTGAACTATTCACCGTACATAAAACATTCGATTGAAAAATGTTCCCCTCCCCAAGATGAAGAGCCGTTTTACATTTATGTTAATAACTTGTTTAGCCATTGCGATAGATCTCTATTTTTGACGTAGTTACACGCCAGTTCGGCGTGTAGCCCGGGTTACGCACACCAGGCGTTAGAGGAAGAATGAAAGACGTCCTATCTCGGCTGCTCATTAAGATAACAACACGAATCCAAAAATTCTTTCGATACTAAAATGGGATTACTGTTAATTTTCCAAATCACGATGGAATGATTTGACTATAAAAATTTTCAAACGAATGGATTATTTGACACTGACTCTCAGATGTTTAACTTTAGACCGCACAGAGACCGGTCATGGAAGGTGCAGCTGAAATAGTCTTAATTACTCCATTAATTTTTCAAATTTTTTGGCTTCTTGGGGTTCATACCAACTGCGTCTCCGCGGCGAACCCTGGGTAACGCTGAACGTTGGTAGGGCTTCATATAAAATGCCGTACCTGCGTTTTGGAATTTAATTTGAATCTCATGAATAAATAATTTTTGAAAACTATACCGCCCGCCCGCACAGAAAAGAATATAAGCCAGAACTTATAAGTGAGATATAGTGATTTTGCCGAAATTATATCTTGAATATATCCGCCTTATATACCAGGTATATGCTAAATATATCCGGTGACATATATGTACACACATATATCCAACATATTTTTCAGATATTACATTTTTTGCCGGAAAGTATACCACACATGAGCGGATATAAGTGACATATATTTCTGCATATATATTTTTTCCATATGCGAGGAGGGAGGTGGCGGTTGGGAAGTCCCGTACATCTACATGAGTACACATCACAATGGATGAAGTGTTTTACAATTGTTCAAATTCATTTTCAGCTACCTAGATCGCCTTGGCAATTTTAAGTTACAGAAATCTAGTTTTATCTCATGAAATATACGTGATCGGCATCAATCATTGTTTCAGAAATATTAAGAGTATTATTTCCCCAAATAAGCGAATTCATTCGTTTATCATTGGAGCTTGGAAAATAATAAATAATTGAGAATTAAAATTTTTTTCAATAACTATTAGGTAAATAATGGGAAATTTTTTCAAAATATATTGGAGATTATCAAATAATCGTCATTCTTCCGAATTCGATTATTTATTGGTAAAATAATTCGGAATTCAGATATTTAATTGTTGATTAATTTAATAATTGAAAATGGTCAAGTTCTATTACTTGATTGAGTATTATGAAATTAATGGTAATGATAATTTATGATTATGCCTATCTCCGGAAATATATTAGTGAAATAAGAACGCTTTACTTAACCCTAGTCCGGTCACCCTACGGGACCCAGTGATTCCCTCCGCGACCCTCCGCGAGAATGCGCCGCCTTTTTATTTAGGCCCCGTTGCCGAATTTACTCTACACTGCGTGGGCGTTTTTCCGCGAGTTTCCGACAACGTTGCGTGACCGTGCATTCCTTTTAAGGGGTCTCCACAGTAATTTTCGCCACAAAATGACAATGTGCTATTGAACTGAATATGTCATATAATAATCAAGAATAGAAAAAAGACAATTGTAAAAAACTCTGAGTAGTTTTATCGGTTCATTTGTGTTTAATTAATCATTCGAATTTCTGCTTATACATGGACTTTATGAACGCTATTGTGTCCCTTGTCCCTTAGCCTGTTGACAATGTGCTAGCGAACAAAGGAAGCTATATTTATCTATTTTTGTGGAATAAATTAACGATAAAAATAATTGGCGCGATGTCTGTCACTATCTAACATACGCCATGTTTGATATTTCATCTCTCTCTCGAAAATAATCTCACTAACTTAGGCATTTTACACTCTATTCACCCGCGCGCCGATCCCCGCTTTGCGCTACTGAGGAGACCCCCTTAACATAGAACAAAAAAATTCTTCTGTTGGAAATAATTTATTTCCTTTTGGAATTTTGGTAATTATGTTATTCTAAAACCACGATAATATTTTATACACTTCAATTGAAAAAGTCAAATTTTGTTGAATATTTCCGGTTATAGAAACAATGGTAGGTAACGAAAAGCGACGCGCTACGACCAACGGAGTGTTAAGAAATGTGTTCGAGTTTATACATTCTAAGAGCAATATTTTACCAGCAATTCCAGTCGAATCATATTCAACTTCACCAAATTGCGGTTTTACATGAAATTGTTTTTGTTGTTGTATATGAACATTCGATAGAAAATATTTGACGCGCTCTCTCTTTACTTCCATAAATAATGAAAAATCAATAAGTTATAGATAACTCAAAACGTTCGCATTATGACGTCACGCCAGAACGCTAACACGTGAAACATTGTGACGTCATACATTTGTCATCACATGCAGACGTTTCTTCGCTTCACTGTAATTGCTCAATTTTTCATGAATTTCCAAAATAAAAGAAGCATATCTAATGTTTTCCATTCAATTCACATATTTCATAATTTTATCGAATAATAGTATATTTCAGGCGAGTGCCATGGGGTTTTTTACTCGTATGGAGTTAGCGTCCGAGCCGAAGGCGAGGACTGGCCAATCACGTGAGTAAAAAAAACCCCATGGCATTAGTCGTGAATGATGTTTTTCCGTAGTGATTTTCACTTTTACGAGTTTGGGGAAGGGCCAACACCAATCCCCGAACGAGGAAAAGTGAAGGTCAATACGGAAATAAATGTCATGGAACAACCCAATTTTTTGAACAATTTTTCAGCAAAGCGATTGATACAAGCAAACTTTTTGTTTAAATTTCTTCAATAATTGCGTCCTTCTTACTGACAACCAAATTATGGTTATGGTTCAATGACGTAATTTGAAATGATTTTGCACAATGTACCAAAACCATAGTGAACATAAATTTCGACCCAGAATTGATGACCGAAAGAAATTATTCGATGAGTGACGAAATAGTACATTGTGGACCAAGGACAAAAAGTCATGTTTTCCTTGCCCGAGGTACACATGACATTTTTTCACACCCCTGCAAAGAAAGGTTTGTTCTTTCCCAGATAACAAAATTTGCCGATGGGCTGAAGTTTATCCGTAAATTTCGATCTTGTTTTGCAGATAAACTGAACATGATTTGCCGATAGTTTGATGACATAAGGACGGCATATTTTGTGCAATTGCTTTCTGATGAGCGCGAGGAAAGTGAATACTTGCCGCTCGAGGGTGCAAAGCAAAGTATAAACTTTCCGTGCAGGGGTGTGAAAATAGCTATTTTCGTCACAAGGCCGAAAAATACCATTTTCACACATCTGCACGGAAAGTTCGTGTTTTGCTCCCTGATAAGTGAGAAGAAAGTGAGTACATTCCGCTCTAGGGTGAAAAGTTGCTCTTTCAGGCAAAAGGTACTAATTACTTTCCGCCCAAGGGCGAAAACTCAGTACTTTCCTCCCTCGGGAACAACCTCGAACCCTTGAAAGTATTCACTTTCCTCCCGCTCATCAGAAAGGAAATACAAAATTACAAAAATACAAAATACAAAATACAAAAACACAAGGCGTGTTAAAAAATAGCATGTGCCTCTCGGGCGGAGAAAACATGACTTTCCGTCCTTGGTGCACAATATAGTATTCTGACGAGTGTGAGGGTTGCAGATCGACGCGAAGCTGAGGAATGCAAACACACGATTCAGAAAAGTTGTTTTCGGCCGAGTGACGAACTCGTATATTTCGATACGAGTCTTTGCCTCGGGCCGCCAACTTCACACTCGTGAAAATTCCCGTCGCACATGCGTCGAACCGCATATTTTGACAGTGATGTTACGTTCAGCAAGTGGCTGAACTGTGTCTTTTTCGTTCACACGTAAACGAAAAGACTTCGTTTAGTTTTCGTTTATGAGTAAACGAAAAGGCACTTTTCGACACAAGATGAACGTAGCCGCAGTATCAAAATAGTATATTTCGTTACGAGTGCGGAAAAGAGTTTTTTGGCTCGTGGGAGGTTTATAGCACGAGCCAAAGGCGAAAAGAGTGTTAAAGTCATTGTTAATAATTCCACCACATCCTTTTAGATATATGCAAGTGCCACCGGGATTTCCTCATCATTTCCTAGGAATTGAATGAATTATCGTCATCTTCACATACAAACTATTGCCAATGTGGTTGCTTTCGCGCTTCTTCAGGCCTCGATAGAATGCAGGTCAAAATAGAATTACCATAATTTTAAAGTCATCTATTGCTAAAAATAATCAAAACGTAATTTTCAGGAATCATTGAATAATTGCGATTTTTTACGATAAGTGGAAATGGGTAATTGGTTAGTCGATCAAGCTTGTATAATAATTTTCCCTGGTCAACGAAACTTCTGGTATACTTGCATCAGCCCAAGGACCCCGCCTTCTTTTTTTCATATCAACAAATGCCATTGACGAGTAGACTGGGAGTGTTGGACCGGTAAATGATGCAAGATGCGTACTCCGTTACGAAGATTTATACTTATTACCACAATTATTTGTTGAACAAATTATGATGCTGGAGCGGAATCATTGAGCTTGACCCGTGTCATTTTTTTTTCTTCTACATGGCACGGCGCCGTGAATTAATTAATGCACTTAATGCGCATTTGCTGCATTGATTGTCCACTTAAAGTTGATCGTGAAGTCATTAAAAGGGGGCAAAAATAGTATGCTGTAATAATAGTGGAAAGTAATGAAAATCATTTATGGATTGTGTAAAATTTATGTTACATGTTTGTTTCTTTCATTATTTCTCATGATTGGAGAATAACACCTATTCTTCAAAAAATATATTTATAACAATATTTCAATATTCATAGAAAATATGGAAATGTAAGCTTTTTCTGAATTTTTTCATACAAAAACTATATAAAATGCGATTGTTCTCAACAAAAAGCACACATGAAGTGACTAAATGGGCTATTCGACCCTTTAGCCAATTTTTTAAATATTTAGTTTCGAAGTACTGATATTTGGGCCACTGAACGTGAAAGTTCTGTACCTCATCGAAAGGATATCAAAGATTTCCAAGTCAAATTTCCTGTCGCTAATTCATAGAATAGCCCAAACATTTTCTAAGCAGTTTTCATCAAGTCGTCGATTTCTCGACTGTCGATGATTCTTCTCAAAATTGAAAAAATCGATAAATTCTTCAGTAATCTTTTCTACTTGGCGTGAAACTTTTTCGTTGAATCTGCTGCCATATTATAAAGAGTTTGACAGGGTTTGTATGCTTCTCCGTAGTGACTAGCATACTCTTCCATCTTTCTGACGAGATTACCGGCGCCATACGAGTCGACCCATCTGAATGGACCGCCCGTGAATGGTGGGAAACCAAGACCAAATACAGCGCCAATGTCACCCTCGAGCTAGAAAAAAAAGCAATTCATCATCAGCTTGAAAATTTCATTATGTGTAGTCCCTAGTAACCTTTATATTTTGTAAAAAAAACTGCGCCAAGAAAAAGTTTTCTTTGGTTCTTACTGGGAAGTAGAAATTGTTGAAAAATACAAAGAAATGAAAAAGAAAGCCAAGTCAGCAATGTCGAATAAACGAAAATAATGCACAATCAGATTTCTATAAGAGAAATAGTTTCAAATCGAATGAGGATTTTAAAAAAATTCTTGATGAAATAAAAAATTAGTAGAAGGAGGACCAACGTCCTTGGCGCGGATCAGAAGATGGAGAATTAGATTGATACTAGACAATGAGTTGAAAAACTCCGCGCCAAGAACGTTGGTCCTCCTTCTACTAATTTTTTATTTCATCAAGAATTTTTTTAAAATCCTCATTCGATTTGAAACTATTTCTCTTATAGAAATCTGATTGTGCATTATTTTCGTTTATTCGACATTGCTGACTTGGCTTTCTTTTTCATTTCTTTGTATTTTTCAAAAATTTCTACTTCCCAGTAAGAACCAAACAAAACTTTTTCTTGGCGCAGTTTTTTTACAAAAACATGTGTTTTTGTTTTTTTAGGGAGATTTCATTATTTTTTTCAAAATAAACAAGGAATCGTTTTTATATCCTGTAAATTTTTTCATTTTCAATTCAATTCGGCTCATTTATTTTTCACACGATAAATCATCTTTCCAATTAACAATCGAAGTAAAACAAATAGTTCTATTCCATAGTCGTTATTTGCACCGACTTTTAATTATTTATTCAAGATTTTCCAACTGAATTTGCTTCTTCGAGAATTCATTTGTGCACGAAACTCGATTGAAAAATATCTGTGGAATTCATCATTCGTGCACCATATTCAATTTGTAAATGCCCGGGCTTCCCTCCTTGGTGCGTATGGTTGTATTGCACTGCTACCAACTCCGTAACAAAAAAATGATAGGCAGCCCAGTTCGGAGATATTTTTTTTCAAATTGTTCGTTTTTTTACAATTACTCGAGTTCTACTCATCTGATTTCGATTTATTAGGGATCAAAATTTTCCATTTTTCACCACCTATAAGAATGTTTTTTATCCAAATTTTTTCCAATCTCTCGATGCTCGAAATNCTAATAAATCGAAATCGGATGAGTAGAACTCGAGTTATTGTAAAAAAACGGAACAATTTGAAAAAAATCATATTTCGGAACTGGGCAGTCAAAAAAATCTGAAAAAATTTGAGAGATAGTTTTTCAAGCCCTCTAATCGTAGAAAAAATCACCATAAATTTTCAAGAGGGTGAGGGTTAGCCNCGATGCTCGAAATAACGAATGTTCGAGAAAAAAAAACATTGAAAAACTTAAATTTGACTAATTACATCACGGTTGATTTTTTTTTTTTTTTCAGTAATTCCTATAATCAAAACAAAAATTTTGAGCCGTCATACATGTTGGGTTTCATCTTAGATCTATTTTATTTTTTATTTTTTATTCTCAAAATTCCGCGAATTCGGTCAAAATACCCCAAAATGTAATTGATTGATTTTGATTATAATCAGTATGAAGAAAATTTAAATATATACCTATATATGACATATTTTTTCGATACATAATTAAAGTCATTTTAAGGTGTTTTCACCAAATTTTCGCAATTTTAAAAAGAAAAAATTAACAAAAAAATTCATCCTGGATGGAACCCAGCATGATGACGGCTCAAAATTTTCGTTTTCATTATAAGAATTGCTGAAAAAAAATTAATATAATCGACCGTGACGTAATTGGCAAAATTCAAGTTTTTCAACTTTTTTTTTTCGAAAATTCGTTATTTCGAGCATCTAAAGATTGGAAAAATTAAAAAAAAAAAACATTCTTCTAGGTGGTGAAAAATTGAAAATGAAAATTTTCCCCCCTAATAAATCGAAATCGGATGAGTAGAACTCGAGTTATTGTAAAAAAACGGAACAATTTGAAAAAAATCATATTTCGGAACTGGGCAGTCAAAAAAATCTGAAAAAATTTGAGAGATAGTTTTTCAAGCCCTCTAATCGTAGAAAAAATCACCATAAATTTTCAAGAGGGTGAGAGTTAGCCGTTGACTCATTTGGCATGCAATACCTCATATGTAAATGGGGGGTTTCGCTAATTATTGGTATGGGTTTGTACCTTTAAAAATTTAATTTTATTGAGGCGTCTTAGATGGCTTTCTTTTCATTCGAAAGAGCTAAAAATTTTTTTTTCAAATTTTATTACGCCTACAACGTTAATTATTGAGTTCTATGAGCTTTTTACAAAATTTGGTATTTCAGCACAGGTCAATTTTTTGTTGGGTTTTCAATAAGTATTTCCGACGGANTAAAAAAAAAAAAAACATTCTAGGTGGTGAAAAATTGAAAATGAAAATTTTCCCCCCTAATAAATCGAAATCGGATGAGTAGAACTCGAGTTATTGTAAAAAAACGGAACAATTTGAAAAAAATCATATTTCGGAACTGGGCAGTCAAAAAAATCTGAAAAAATTTGAGAGATAGTTTTTCAAGCCCTCTAATCGTAGAAAAAATCACCATAAATTTTCAAGAGGGTGAGAGTTAGCCGTTGACTCATTTGGCATGCAATACCTCATATGTAAATGGGGGGTTTCGCTAATTATTGGTATGGGTTTGTACCTTTAAAAATTTAATTTTATTGAGGCGTCTTAGATGGCTTTCTTTTCATTCGAAAGAGCTAAAAATTTTTTTTTCAAATTTTATTACGCCTACAACGTTAATTATTGAGTTCTATGAGCTTTTTACAAAATTTGGTATTTCAGCACAGGTCAATTTTTTGTTGGGTTTTCAATAAGTATTTCCGACGGAAATTTTCCATTCTTTCGATTGAGCATGGTGTCAATTAGCTCACGACATGGGAAATGCTATAAAATAGCTGAAAAAGAAAATTGTGCATGGTAGCCCCTTCCCCCACCTTGATTGGATATTTTTTTAATTCGTTACCCAAAGTGACTATTTTTACGAGACATATTAAAAAATTAGACTGGTACTCGGATTCGTTCTATCCAAAAATTTTATTTTTCTTTTTTTCTTTTTTTTTCTTTTTTTTCTACAATTTTTCATTTGAAAATTCATTATTTAACGATCATTTATAGACCTTCAATAATGAATTTTAAATCATTTCTGTCGGAAATACATATTGAAAACCCGAAAAAAATGACCTCTGCTGAGGCGTAAAATTTTCTCAATAACTCATAAAATTCCAAAATTAATGTTGTGGGGATAATAAAATTTGAAAAAAAAATTAGAAAACAATTTTTAGAGGGCTTTTGAATGATAAAAAAAGTCATGTAAGAAACCTCAAAAAAATTAAATTTTTGAAGGTGCAAAATCATACCAATAATTGGCGAAATCATCCAAATGTGAATCTAATGAAGGGACTGACCCCACGACTGCGAACGGATACGAAAACTTTCACCGGTACGTCAAACGATCGACCGACGGCACCAAATATCAATTTAACATTCAATTTGTTACAGTATATTATCTAACAGCGAGTTCAGGATAATTTTAGAATTCAGATTCTTTATGAGTACATTTCAACACCAGGCGGTGAGGAACTTTTCTGGCGAATATGAGTGTACAGGACGAACCGAAGGCGAGTTCTGTAATCGTATGTGGTAGAAAAGTTCTTCACGGCCGTGTCACCTTTACGCACGAGAATTTACTTTACGCACGACAAGCAGGGATAGCCAAATTTGTAATATTTAATTACCGTTGAATATGGTAACTATGAATTAAATAACATCACTCTTAAATTTTTTGAGTATTGAAGTATCATCAATTTAAATATTCAAATTTTCAACTATTTTATCAATCAATAATTGAGGTAGGAAGATTGATGATTATTTGTGTAATCGAAAATCCCCTTTTAAGAAATTTGAATTATTCTCTAGTAGTTAATTTACAGTTTCATATTAACAAATTTTAAATACATGATTATTCAAAAAAAAATCAGATTATTAATATTATATTATTTGAAAAATTAGATCAACATATTTAATACCTTCATTAATGTAAGGGTCAAATTCTTGTAATATTACAGAAATTTAATATTGATGTGGATCCCTGAAAACAAGCACTGTACGCACACCAAACGATTTCGAAAGGTGAATTTTTCAAGCAGGTATCACAAAATAGTATATTGTGTTACTAGTGCGTAAAGTTTCACTTTTTCACACGCACGAGTAACACATCCTATTTTTTGTGGGATCTGCCGAGTTCACTATTCGGAACGGTAGTGGGGATAATGTGGTTGTTTTTGCGCACGAGTGCGTAAAGTTCAAGAGCGTGAAGTGAATTCTTGTGCATAAAGCCTCGCTTTACACACTCAAAATTCACTTTACGCACGCTCGTGAACTTTACGCAGGCCATGCGCAAAACAACCGCTCTACGAACACTAAACCGTTCCGAAAAGTGCACTTTTGAGGCAGGTATCACAAAAAGTCTTTTCGCTTACTTGTAACCCTTTCCCTTTTTTCCCCTATTTTCCTTTTTCTTCATATTTACACTCATTCATTTGTCCTTAACGCATTTTCACCATTCCTGATAGTCGCTTGACTCTCTCAGTACGGTATCAATAGAAATTTCGGTAATTGTTTTTTCATTGGCACTTGCCTCTACAGGAGTGAGAGGATAAAACCATTAGGATTAGAAGAAGAAGAAGAAGAAGAAGAAGAAGAAGAAGAATTGTTTTTTCAGTTTATGTGAGCAAGTAGAACTTACAGGATTAGCAAGGATATTTTCCTCGAGACACAGTACAGCTTCATTGACGAATCGAGTAACCATCCTCAACTGAAGATCTTCATCAGCAGTGCTACCTTTCGGCTCCAGGTGGTATTTCTTTAGAATATCTAAGGCTCCAAGATTAATATCTCTGTCTTTTCTGCCAGCTTCGTAGACGTAAATTCCTTTCCCCGATTTTCGGCCTGAATAACAAAAATTATAAGCACGATGAGAAAAAATAGATTAATTGATAGTCCAACAGGATGGATCAGCAGAGACATGTATTCAAAGGTCTTAGAGATTATGACGAACCGGATAATTCTAAACAAAACAAAATTTGCGGGATAATTCTACATGTATGAGAAATTTACATGAACCTGTCTTACAAGAATAGTTTCGTTGACAATTTTTCTAGCAAAATCTTTCTATCGTGAATTTTTCCTTGCAAAAAAACGTTTGGAAAGTTCTATAAAAATTGGATAGAAGGCAAATTCCTATAAACTTCTCTCTTTGGAGAAGTTTATATTACTTTTTCTATGGATAAGATCCATATGAATCTCATAGCAGAAGAAAATTTCCGATAGAAATTCTCCTATTTTCTGTAAGAATTCCTACACCGAGAAAAAAAAATTTTTAGTGTCAACTGAGCGTGTCGTCTAAATAACTAGCGAGCAAAAAATCCTGGAAATAAGGGACCGTTTCACTCATTTTGAGGAAATTATTCCGAAAAATCAGAAAAAATCCCTTATTTCAGTCATTCTTACTGAACTCTAGTAGAACGGTAACTAAATTCAAACACTTTTTCTCCTACCTCGGAGCAAATGTTCTTTTTGGAGTTCAGAATTTTTGGATTCTTAAAATAAGAACATTCTCATTCACTGAGAAAATGAATTATTTTTGCCAAACATCCATTTACTTGAAAGAAGTATTCATTTTTTCAATACCGTATTTCTCCAATCTAGTCATTCCCAGGCAATTCTGACCCTGGGTTTTCGACCTCGATGACCCTTATTTATACTCTTACTCTGATCCTTGTGACCCTCATTTGGACCCTTGATCTTGTGACCCTCAATTTGACCCATATGACCTTCGTGACCCTTCTTTGAGCCATTATTCTGACCCTTATTTTGATTCTCGAGACCCTGATTTTTACTCTCATGACCCTTATTCTGACCCTTGTGACCTTTATCTTGGCCCTCATGACCCTTATTTTGGCCCTCATGACCCTTAATTGGAATAACAAAGAAATTATCATTGAGAATGAGAGTACTTACCCAAATACCCAGCTTTAACCATGTCACTCATAATATGAACGTCGCCCCCTTGGAACCTCGGTCCAAATGCTTTGCTAAGATCAGCACCAATATGTGATCCAACATCGATGCCCACCTCATCGCAGAGCGTCACAATCCCAACAGGAAATCCGAATTTCTTCGTAAGTTTATCCAAATGCATGGGATCAGCCCCCTCCTGAAGTAATCTCAACATTTCCGTCGACATAGTACTGAGGATTCTAGTTGTGTAGAATCCAGGACCGTCACCAACAGTAATAACAACTTTTCCCTGTTTCAATCCAACATCAACAGCAGTCTTGATTGTTTCCGTTGATGTTCCCTTGTGCGTAATGATCTCAAGAAGTTGCATTTTGTCTACTGGTGAGAAATAGTGCATGCCAATGACTTTGTCAGGACGACTGCTTCCAGCAACAATTTTAGTGATTGGTATTGCTGATGTGTTTGTAGCAATAATACAATGCTCGGGGGTATTGGCCTCTACTTCCTTAATGACTCTATGTTTGAGAGCTAAATCTTCAAAGACTGCTTCGATAATAATATCAGCATCTTTGAAATCATCATAATTTAATGTGGGAATGAGATTGGCCATTATTTTGCTCTTCTCCACCTGACTAATACGTTTTCGCTTTACCCCATCTTCGAATTTTTTTTGGACTTGTCCAACACCCCTGAAAAGTCCAGCATCAGTGGTGTCCTTCAATGCAACACTGTAACCTTTGTCAATACTGACAGTTGCAATACCTGCGCCCATCAGTCCAGCCCCAACCACACCGATTTTCTTCACCTGATTTTTGGACGCACCAAAACGATTCTTTTTGCACGCCGTCTGACCGAAGAACAGGCTAATCAGGCCTTTGGACTCTGGCGTTAGTGCCAAAGAGGCGAAGCCACGGGCCTCTGCTTCGTAGCCCGCTACTGGACCCTTATCCACTCCTGTACGAATCACCTCCAAAATTTTCAAAGGTGCAGGATAGAGACCATTCGTCATCTTCAATACTTGCTGCTTCGATTTCTTGAATATTTGATCTTTCACTACGTCCAAACTTAATGCCCAATTAGTAATCTTCCCCGTAACAGATTTTGGAGAACGATCAATCTTCAGTTGCCCGGAGGCTAAGTCTTTTGCTACTTTTATCGCTGTGTCTTCTAAGTATCTCAGTGTACTGAAAATGGAAATTAATGTTTTCGATGAATCATCAGATAATTGTATAAAGTAAATGTGCCTATGCTCGTTTCTATTTCTATCGCTGTTCATCAAAAGTAAGATGTAATTGAATTAATTATTTCTAGTGATAAAGAAAGTGGTGGACAACAACAAATGGTGGCTTATCAGATGAGAAGAGAGAGAAATTCCGTTCGTATCAGCTGGTGCTACGAATGAGGAGATTCTTGAGCGATAAGTCGAGCTATTGAAATTCGTCAAATGTCGATGGCAATGTCTCTGTTGTGATAGGAAAATTACATTAAAACTCTCTTCAGTAAGAATTCAACTAGTCAGAAATTTAATGTCGATAATGAGCGGAATAGGTACAATGAAAATGGAATTGAGCCCATGATCGTCAGACAACTTGTCCATTTCCTTCGGGAGATTAAACCGTAATTCTGTCGTGAATTGGTAAACTAGGATAAGTGAATTTTTTTAGAAAAAATCTGGTGAAGCTAAATGAATGTGACTTAGTCAATTCAATTTTATTATTTTGGATTTTGATGGCTAAATCGCTTCCACACATTGATGGGAAGCGATTCACTCAAAAACGGATTTTCGAAATAATGCACTTATCCTAGTTTACCAATTCACCACAGAATTCTAGGATTCTGACTTCGTTTTGATGTATTTTCTGTTCAATTTATATGGAAACTAGCAGGGGTTCAAGCCTATCCGCCAGAAGGCATGTGACCGTTACTTTTTGTGTTACTAATATCTTTCTTTTTTTTATTTCTACCAATTCCATTGGTAATAAGCTTCCTAATGGATCCTTAGCAATTGCTTATTCTTGTGAAAGACATACAACCGTAACCACATGCTACCGGGTGTCTGAAGGAAAATATTCAACCTTTTAATAAAAAAGATTTATACAAAAGGTTAAATATCTCCGAAACTGGTCGGCCGGTTACACCTATCCAAAATACCAACTTTCGGTATTGTAAGAGCTATAATCATACCGAATTTCAACTGGCTATCCCCATTTTTTCTCAAGTTATCGTGCGTACAAGATTTTTCATGAAAAACGGAAAAACGGCAATATCTTCCAACTGTGTATTAAGGGGAGACTGCGGTGAAATTTAAGAGTCCCGGCTCGGCCTTAAGAGCCATTGGACGACTTTTGATATATGAAAGGATATCTAAAAAAGTGAGAAAAATTTCGGACCCGAACCGTTTTGTCCCGTATATCCACCAAAAACGTCGTTTTTCACGATTTTAGCTTAGAAATGCCCCTTGTACCACAGTTTTCATCCGATTTCAACTTTTTTTTTGTTGTTGAAATGTTCGCTATACTCCAACGAACAAACCCAAGTATCCGTTTTGCTTTATATTTATCAGATCATGAGAAAATGATTTTTTTAGTTTCTATTTTTTTTCCTCTTTTTAGCAAATGCTAAAATTAGTTGTTTTTCGTTATTTCACGTTGTAATCATACGTAATCGAAATATTATAACAAAAAAAAATGGGCGGAAAACAACGAATTTTAGCATTTGCTAAAAAGAGGAAAAAAAATTAAAACTAAAAAAAAACATTTTCTCATGATCTAATAAATATAAACCAAAATGGATACTTGGGTTTGTTCGTTGGAGTATAGCGAAAATTTCAAAAAAAAAAGTTGAAATCGGATGAAAACTGGTCCAAGGAGCATTTTTAAGCTAAAAATGTGAAAAATGACGTTTTTGGTAGATATACGGGGCAAAACGATTCGGGTCCGAAATTTTTCTCACTTTTTTATATATCCTTTCATATATCAAAAGTCATCCAATGGCTTTTAAGGCCGAGCCGAGACTTTCAAATTTCACCGCGATCTCTCCTTAAAGAGTTTATATATTCTGATTGAGTTACATAGAGACCATCAAGATGAGTATTTTGAAAAAAAAAAATTGAAATTGGTGCAGTAGGTTTTGAGATATTGAGGAAAAACGAAATTTAAAGAAGTTGTTATATCTCAGGAACTCCTGGACTGTTCGGGCTGAAACAGCGCGCTAGAGTTGAGCTCAATAATAGCTACAATGCGTCAAAATTTCAGATTTTTAGTTACAAATTTCACCGTATTTATGTTGAATTTAAACAAAATTAATCACCAAAAATCCAAATTGTCACATACATACATACAGACATGACCATAAAAACATTATTTCTTCATGTTTCATAACATTCTAGACCATTTGCAATCAAAACTAGAAAATCTAAAAATCGGGCAAAAATAAGGCATCCACTCGAAAGCAAAAAACATACATATAGACTCTATCTAAAAATCGCATATTCGGACTTTTGAGACCATTTTTAGTTTTCCTGACGGAAAAAATTCGAAACTTGATTTTGAGCGATTACAAAGTTTCCATTCGGAAGCAAAAACCATGAATTCATGCTCATTTTCATAGAAATGTTGTCAAATCGAGCGTAGGAACATTGACCTTATTCAAGTGATTGTAAAAGAATTCCAAAAACTAAGAAATTAACTTTACTTCTTCTCAGGTGTGCTAAGGCCTGGTCCTAGACGATCAACTAGCAAATCAACAATTCCAAACTTCTTAGCTTTATCAGCTTTCACCATGGTGCCAGTCAGTGTCATACTGAGGGCTTGTGGTAGTCCTATTAGCTTGGGTAACCTCTGAGTACCTCCGGCACCAGGAAGAAGACCGAGTTTTACCTCTGGCAATCCTAAGACAGTCTTTTTGTCATTCACAGCTAAACGATAATGACACGCAAGTGCAACCTATAGGTGGTTTGAAATAAAAATGAATTATAATTAGTGCACTGCCAAATATTATCAATTCGATTATTCTTCCCTGAATGCTACAAGAATATAGACAGATAGAAATTTTATGGACCCAGGGACCCAGGCGAAATTTGAAAGTCTTCGGTTGATGAAGATAAAATTAATTTATTCTCATTTCTAACTTCATTGTTTCATTTTAAAGTATATCATCTGATACTTTGACTCAATTAATTTTAAATTAAGGTTCAATGATTTCAGAATTTTATCGCTTTCCAGTGTTTTTAGGTTAAGACCACAAAGGTTCTTAATTTAAAAACTTTTCTCATTTGAAATGAGTGGATTTTTGGTACTGAATATTAATAATCTTCTTAAAAGTAAGTAATAAGTTTCTCATTCTCATTATGATTCCTTCTAAAACCATAAGTTTTCCACAATCAGTGACTTGGTTCTAAAAACAAGAAATTTTTTCTCTTTCGTGCGGGCAAGGGAGATATCTTATGAAGAAATTTAATAACTTTATTACGACATTAGGGAAAATATAAAAATATTCAATTCTGAATTTTTTCTCATTTCTATAATATTATACTTGACTGAGGAAAAAAGTAAATCTTTTCGATTCTAAAATTAATCTATGTTCACTTATAAATTCATTGTTATTTAAAGTATTTCATCTGACACGTTGATTCAATTAATTTTCAATTAATGTTCAATTATTTCAGAATTTTATCCCTTTTCAGTGTTTTAAGAGCAGAGAGGTTCGTAATTTAACAACTCCATAGTTCTCCATTTAAGAACTTTTCTTACTTGAAATAAGTAGATTATTAATACTGAATTTTTAAATTTTTTCAGAAATTAAGAAACTTATTTAAGTTTCTCATTCTCATTACACAGTCCTAAAAAATTCCGGCTTTTTTGACACAGAGATGAGACTGCCACTACTCGAAAGATTTTTGCACGCTGATATCAAATCCGCAGGTCAAATCTCCTAAAATAAAAATAAAGTTTCGCAGAAAGAAAAGTTACAGTCCTCAAACTGGCCCAAAATCGCCTTTTTCAAAATTTAAGTAAAAAATAATGCCTACGTCGATTGAGCTGAGAAAAAAATCAACGAAAAGACCAAGAATTTTAGTTCTAGATGAGGTAGAGCAGTTTTAATCAAAAGTAGCAAATTATTCACAATAAATTCTGCATTTTTTCAGTAAAAATGCATCTATTTTTAGAAAGAATGTCATGGAAGCTACAGTTTAAAGTTGCATCACCACGTGGAATCTTGACCGCCAGATTTGAGGGTTATTTGTCTATTCAATTTCTTGAATCTAAAGTGTCTTCAACAGAATATAACTAAATATAACGCTCCAAGAAAGGAGAATTCTAATTTCTCTCGTCGAGAATGAACCAAATCTTTCAGGGAATGGTTTATGGAGGTACTGTAATGGGAATAAATCGATCTTTGGTGTGCGGTGATTGCATAGTTGCTAAATTCTCCACTCCGAGATACATATTTACTGATTTATTGTATCTTGAGATACTAAAAAGTTGATAAAAATGGGCATTTGAGTAGTAAAGACACCGTACGAGAGTCGGCAATTTTGTAGGAATTTTGTAGAACTATGTTATGCACTGTTACAAATTTTTTGAAATTTCATGGAAAATATGATAGTAATTCTTATGAGATTGACACTGAATCGGATTTAGGGGAAAAATGGTCATGAAATTTCAAGTTCTAGGTAAAATTCAAGGAAATTCATGAATTTTCAGTGGAACATGAATATTCAGAAACAAAATGACATGAATTTTCAATTTTTCCATGAATTTTCCTGATTCTTCTGAATTTTCACAGAATAATTGAACTGAAATAGAAGTATTTTATTGATTTTCAGATCATTTGAAGGGAAAATCAATGGAATATTTGATTTTTCAATGACAATATTTTCTCAAATTTCAGTGGAACTTGAACACAATAAAAATTTATGAAATTTGGGACGGAAAATTCAGACGAGAATTCTCAACAGTGTCATTCCTTCTAAAAGGATGAGTTTTCCGGAATCAGTGACTTAGTTCGGAAAACTAGAAACTTTTTCTCTTTCGTGCGGGCAAGGGGATATCTTAGGAAGTTCAATAACTTTATTACGACATTATGAAAAATATAAAAATATTTAACTGTGTGAATTTTTCCTCATAAGGATTATATCCTTAGCTGAGGAAAAAAATAAATCTTACCTCCAAACCACCCCCCAGACAATTGCCTTGGATAGCAGCAACAATAGGTTTTTTGCATCCAGCAATGGTATCCATGATTTCCTGACCTTTTTTTGACACTTGATAAACTTCTGTTTCGTTGTTAAGATTCTGTAACATTGAGATATCAGCGCCGGCAATGAAACTGTTTGGCTTGCCACTGATTAGCACTGCAGATTTAACAGCAGAATTACTCTCAATTTCTCCCATCAGGCCCTGCATTTCTTGTATCACTTCAGCTTGCAACGTATTCTCCTGAATGAATAATAACCATGTTAATTTATTTTCATATTTAGTCGAATGTTCATTATAATTCCTATGAGTTTACCTTGACACCTGGAGAATCGAGTGTGATAACAGCCACATCATCGATGATTCTGTATTTCGTGTACTTATTCGATACTGCAGTTGCTAAAAATCTGAGAGAAGTCGGATGTCCTTCAAAGGGAAAAAAGAAAAAATCATAGGTATTGAAATCGTGTTCGAAATCCGCAATCTTTGAAGATCTTCGAGTCGGGTACAAAGGTTAATTTTCGAATGATGAGGCTAATCTGCAGTTTTTTAATATAATAATTTTTTGCCTGATAATTATGTGATTCTACAGACATGTCGCTATAACACCAAAACACGAATTACCTGATGTCGTAACACACTCATAATTGTTTCGGGGAAACCGTCTCAGTGCTCCCAAAATCCTTAAACTTGCCATGTTAGACCTACTTTTGTATACCCTCCTCTACAGTGCAATCTGACTGAATCCGACGAGCTCACTGGCCAAAGAACTCTCTTCGGCAATCTCCGGGCTTCCATGCATGTGCCGACATTGCCCCACTATCCCCCCTCCGACACAGGCCGATAGACACCAGATTCGGCTCTCGGCAGTGCTAGGGATTATACAGCTTGCAGCCAGAGAATAGTTTAGCTTTTCAGCAGCCAGGGACGGGGTCTGATCCAAGAATTCGTAACCGGCGAAATATCACTCTTCTGTGGCAAGCATTTCGTATAATGTCGATAGTTATCGGTAAGATTACCTTCGAAGGGCGGGAGTTTTGAATGTCTAGCGCCACTCCGGCCGCAAGCGGCCGGTGTGTTGATTCCCTTTGATTATGCCCTTTTTGCAAAAAAATAGATCTGTGCGCACGCTTTAGCGCGAGAGAATTAAGAGAATTAAGAGAATGAAGAGAATGAAGAGTGAAGCATCAATGAATAATTTTTAATCTTCGATTAATTCATTTTTTTTGCTTTTAAAAATAATCTGATTAAAATCTGTAATTGTTGAAAAATGAAGGGAGGGTTATGAATTGATTTCCCAGAAAATTGAAAAAATTTCTTGAATTCTTCGGAAAATTCCACAGTTTTCCAGATAACCGTAGTTCTTCAAAGATTTTTCTCGAATTATTTGGGAAACCGAAGAATTTTCATGAATTTTGTAGAATTTAGGATTTATGTATGAAAATCTGAGAAGCAAGAATTGATCATTTTTGCGTATGATAAATATGAAAAAATTAAAATTTGGGAAGTGAAGAATAATTTGTGCGTTAAAAAAATTTAGAAATACTATGTTTATTTTCTCATGATCAACAATTAGGCAATTTAAATATGTTTTGATATAAAGATAAACTTCACACATGAAAAAATGAAAAACATGACGCAGAAAATTTTTTTGCCATTTGAAGAATTTGAAAATACCGGGGATTTTTTTCAGCGACTACTTCACGTGACTCATTGATCAATCAAAGGGTGCGTTTCGGAATCAACTACCGTAGCTGCAGTAAAGCAAAATTAGATAGGGTTGCAGTACTGCTACTGCTACTACGTCGATTGCGAAATGCGCCCAAAATTGCGGATTAGCGGTCAGGTAGTTTCGAGATATTTCGATATAAAACAACTTCACGTTTCTTTCATCTTCAGTAAAATAGGACGTTACTTCATTTTGTTATAAAATAAACATCGTTCACAGGGATGCGAAATGATGTCACATTTTTTCATATCGTAATTTGGGTCACACTGTTGACTCGCATATGATAAGAGACTCGTTAGATGTAATGTGACCGTCATAAATTTTTCTGTTACAAAATCTTGTCATAAATTTTCAAATTGTACCGGCTTTTCGGTGCAAGGGTTTACTTGCCTCATCTTTGAAGGAATATTATCTCATTTTGAAAAAAAAAAATATTTTTTTGTCTGAAACCTACCATAAATTGATCAAATATGTATGCAATGTTTTTCGCTTAAGAAATGAATCAAATATGGCTGAAGGAAAATGACCTTCATTGACGGTCACAAGACTAGGCGTTCATGACGGCTGTCACAATTCACCCTCCCCCTTCTGTGACCGTCACAACTTGTCAAGAAAAAATGACAGTCATTTTTCATCTATATAGATGAAACTTTATTTTTTTCTCGGTCAATTTTCAGTTGAATTCCTTTTGTATTGGCCTAATCCGCATTTTGAAATGGAAATCACGTTTTTTTTTCATTCATAATATAGATGAAACTATTTTGTTTTATTCATGACCGTCATAAATTGGAAATTAGTTACGACCGTCATTATGCAACTATATAGATGTTTTGACAACAATTTGGTTACAAATGATTTGTGACAATCATTTGTAGTTGGAAAATTTGTGCGTCACATGACCGTCATTTTTTGGTCATATGACGCGATCTAAAAAATGACGGTCATTTTGCATCTCTAACTACACCCATTCGATCAAAATTCACGTTTTTTTTTTGGCAAATTATTGATCGGATTGACGCGAAATAATATACCGTTTTGCATTTTATAATTATTGATTGACGCACGAAGTTTCATGGTAGTGCAATCATTTTCCTGTATTTTGTCTGAAGTTTTGTGAATTTCCGAAAAGTTTTAGAAAAAACGCAGGAAAATGATTGCACGATCATCAAATTTCGTGAGCCACTAAGTAATGATAAAACGCAAAAACGGTATATTTTTTCACGTCAATTCGATCCACAATTTACCAGAAAAAATAAAAAAACGTGAATTTTGGCGAAAAGGGTGTAATACATCCTTAAGAATCAAGTCTAATGGAATAAATTGAAAATGGTCTCGTCATTTGGTAAAACCCTAAGAGGGCAAAAAACATTGGTCGTTGATGCATACACATTTTATAAACACAGCGACGGTTCAGATAAAGTGATATGGAAGTGCAGTGCCTATCGGAAAGCATGCGGAGCATGTTACGATTACCAATTTTCGGTATTTTTTATCTTAATTGTCTCATAATAAAACAGAATGCAAATAAAATAGTCAAATAGAATATCAATTTTCATCACAAGATTTTTTTTTCAATGGCCACACTTTGCGTTAAATCAGATCATTGTGGATAGCCGTAGTTCAGTTGAAATTGAAGTTTTTCCCGAATTTTTTCCTCTAAAATTTTGTCTAACGAAGACTTTTTTTCAAATTTTCTTTCAAAATAATAATGAAATAACCCTAGGATGAAATGCCCTGGGATGAAAAAGTTCGGGGATGAACTTTCCTGCTACCGATCTTCAGAAACCTAATTGTTTCAGAAATTTGACATTTCTCTAAGTGTTTACATAAATTTAATATCGAATTGAGTCACTAATTCTCATTCCCCCGGTATAAATGTATTCATAAGAGGATATCATGAAGATGTAACACTTCGATATTGCGTTTCTAATAGAAGGCGAACGTAACAATGGGGGTGGGGTAATAAACCACCCAAGTGTATCCGTAGGAGCGCCCAGGAGTAAGATCGGTTCGTGAGACTATTAGAAAGCTCACTCGATCGTTTTTCTCCACAACCACGCATTGAGTTTTCGCCCTCTCCTCTTTCAATAAAAGGATGTAATGTCAGACAGTATTTACCATAAAATTTTGCACTTTCAACCACACTGTTAAATATTTTCGTCTGAATTATCCGTGCCAAATTCCGGAAATTTTTATCGTATTTAAGTTCCACTGAAATTTCAGGAAATCTTGCCGTTGAAGAATCAAATATTCCTTTGATTTTCTGTTTAAATGATCTGGAAATCAATAAAATATTTGATTTTTCAGTTCAATTATTCTGTGAAAATTTAGAAAAATCTGGAAAATTCTGGGAAAAATAGAAAATTCATGTCATTTTATTTCTGAATATTCATGTTTCACTGAAAATTCAACCATGTTGTGAAATTTCCATCTCACTCCCTATGAAAATTCATGAATTTCCTTGAATTTTACCTAAAACTTGAAATTTCATAACAATTTTTCCCCTAAAATCGATTCAATGTCACTCAAATGAGATTTACTATAATATCTTACATAAAATTTCAAAAAATTTCTGTCGGTGCATTCCACATCTCTAGATATTACCTGCATTCAGGTATAATACCGACCACTAGGCTTCGGTCGTACTTTCCCCATAATTTTCTAAATTCTACGAAGAATCCCGAATTTATTATTGGGAAATATCAAGTGGAATAGAAAAAGAAAATTTGAGAATAATGTTTTTTAATCAGAGTTTGAGTTTTTGATGCAAGAAACATCGTAATACCTTTTTGAAAGAAATATTCAATGAAAATTTTGTATCTTTTCCGTAAATCCGGAGCGAAATGTGGTTGTAGGACATTTTACGGAACTGTCACGGAATTTTTCCAGAACGTTCCGTAATTTTTATTTGAATCTCCTGTGAAAAATTACGATACCGCCACTTAAATTTTTTGTATCGATTCTCTCCGTGCATTTTAGGATTTTCTTTGCAAACGGTGGTCAAGAGAAGATCTTGCCTCTGACTCTTGAGTTACCGTCCATGTGAAAGGGATTAAGTCGTAAAGTATCAAATGAAGAGGGAGGCAAACCGGGTCGAAGAAGAATAGCGAAATATTTTTGGAAAAATTGTTGGATTTTATGACAGTCACGGATTAGAGTGAGAAAGCTATGAATTCTCAAAAAATGAAACAATTGATTTTAACAATTTTCGACCCAGGGTCTCATCATTGCCATGATTTATCATTAAATTAGAGAGCGAATTCAAAATCTAATGAGTAATAAGTTCATGTGTAAAGAAACTAATGAATTGATAATTGTCGCAATGATCCAGACAAAACGAATTGAAAATGTGCACTGTTAGAATTTTTTTTTAAATTCGTGGAAAATATGATAATAATTCTCATGAGAGTAACATTGAATCGGATTTAGGAGAAAAAAGGTTATGAAATTTCAAGTTTTAGGTAGAATTCAAGGAAATTCAGTGGGCGTAAGATGGAAATTTCACAACTTGATTGAATTTTTAGTAGAACATAAATATTCAGAGATAAAATGACATGAATTTTCAATTTTTCCTTGAATTTTCACACTTTAAGTATTTTATTGATTTTCAGATCATTTGAACCGAAAATTTATAGAATATTTGATTTTTCAGCGTGAATATTTCCTGAAATTTCAGTGGAAATTAAACCTGATAAAAATTCCTAGGATTTGGCCCGGAAAATTCAGACAAAAATTTTTATCAGTGTTCCACTAAAAAAAAGTCAATCAATGAAAGAGCTTTTCTCTCTCTCATCTCTTCAAACAGGAAACCAGTAATAAACCCATAAATTTGAGAAGACTCCGACTAATTCAGGACCGACCCAGGATAGAGTTTTCTATGTCTGTCTTCGTTCTTTAAGTGCACTTTCAATTTTTCGTTAAACCGTAAAAGTCATAAAACCTTTCCTTTGAGAGGGTTTATTTGTCCAGAGACAGTTTCAAGTGTTCTCTTTCTCCCTCTTCACACGTGTGTGGGTGTTTGTTCGGGATCACGTAGACCTGAGATTTAGGACTGGGCCCA